CTTGCTCCTTGGAAGAACAGCTGTGACAAACCTAGACAGTGTATTAAAAAGCAGAGACATCACTTTGCCAACAAAGGTCTGTATAATCAAAACTATGGTTTTTCTAGTAGTCATGTACAGATGTGAGAGTTGGACCACGAAGAAGGCTAAGCGTTGAAGAATTGATGCTTTCAAAGTATGGTGCTGGAGAAGACTCTTGAGAGTCCCTTGGACAGCAAGGAGATCAAACCAGTCAATCCTAAAGGAAACCAACCCTGAATATTCGCTGGAAGGACTGATGCTGAAGCTGAAGCTCTGATACTTTAGCTACCTGTTGCGAAGAACCAACTCATTGGAAAAGACCTTGATGCTGGGAAAGACTGAAGGCGGGAGGAGAAGGGGACGACACAGGATGAGATGGTTGAATGGCATCACCAATGCGATGGCCATGAGTTTGAGGGCTCCGGGAGTTGGTGATGGAAAGGGAAGCCTGGCGTGCTACAGTCCATGAGGTAGCAAAGAGTTGGACATGACTGAGCGACTGGACTGAACTGAAGAACCAGATAAAGTTATATAAAAGATGAGATCTTTCAAACAGTGATGAATTGTTTAAAAAATCAATTATTCATTTCACAAATAAGTACTTTGGGAATCATGTAGACGATGTAGGAAAAAACCAGGACCTGGAGTAAGTTAAATTAAGGAAAATGACCAGTACATTTTTTGAAATAGATAAGACATAGTTGCACTTTTCCTTGATTAATTTAGTACAAGGTTCCCCCTGGTGTTCAAAAGTAGATACAGCAACCCAGATCCAAATCTGCTTTTATGTTTGGAGGGCTTCCTGAGTGGCTCATAGGGTAAAGAATCTGCCTACAATGCAGGAGACCAGGGTTTAATCCTCGGGTTGGGAAAATCTCCTGGAGAAGGAAATGGCAAACTACTTCAGTGTTTTTGCCTAGAGGATCCCAAGGACAGAGGAGCCTTGTCGGGTTACAGTTCACGGGGTTGCAAGGAGTCAGACACAACTGAGCAAGAAACACATTTTTGGTAGCTCTGACGGTAAAGAACTTTCTTGCAGTGTGGGAGACCCAGCTTTGATCATTGGGTTGGGCAGATCCCCTGGATAAAGGAATGGTTAGCCACTCCAGTATTTTTGCCTGGAGAACTCCATGGACAGAGGAGTCTGGCGGGCTACAGTCCATGGGGTCACAAAGAGTAGGACACAACTGAGTGACTTCCACTTATCTTATAATAATCTGTTTTTCAATAGCTTCTGGACTTTTTCAGGAAAAGAAATCTACTTATTTTATTCTCCTATTATATTCCTTATACAGTATTAATAGTTAAATCCCATATATCAGCGGTTTAGTTTTATTTATTTGTGAGCAATGTTTGTTTTCCTTACCATCCATTCCAGTTAAGTTTTCTGGATACTGCTCAAAAGAAACAGACACTATTTAAGAAGTGAAGGGAGAGAAGGAAATTTGCATCCACTCTGAGGTTACCATGCGCCAAGCAGTCTACCTTCCTTGCTCTTTCCTCCCTCTCTCCTCAATGCCAACATACTAAGGATGTGGTATTCTTGGTGTTACAATACAACTGTGAACAACCTGAAAAGTCCCCATGTCATGGCACTCAAATCGTGGTGGCAAAGACAGACAATAAGCAAACTTCTAAAATGAAAATACAAAGAATCCTCGGCAGTGATAATTGCTACTGGTGCCCGAGAGACATGAGGTAGTCAGGGACATCCATTCTGAGGAATCTGAGTGACATAAGTGAGTCGAGAGGCTATCTGCAGGTTAGACATTTGTGGCTGAGAGAAGAGGGGGTACACAGCCCCTGGTATATTCCGGAAACCTCAGGAGGGGTATGGCTGAGTACGGTGACCAGAGGGTGTGGTGGGAGAGGTTTGAGAACAGGAGAAAGATGTGATCCAGCTTCCATATTAGAACAATCACTGGAAGCCATGAGAAGGATGACTCCAAGCTGACTGGAGTTGGGAAGGGGTGGAGAAGGGGGAAATCAAGACTTTAATTTGGGATGTCTTCAATTATTACAGACAAACTCAGGACACTATACATTAAGTATTAGACACAGCGTAGAGACTACAAAAAACAGAGAATCAGAGATTTAAAATATAAAAAACAGAGAAATAAAATCAAAGGAGAGTAAGTACATTAAGCAGTGATTTATTCCAGTCTGTATCTCCAAAGGCCATGGCCTTTTCTCTCTGCTGTGCTGCCTCTCCAAGGCTGTCTGGGTACCATCCAGCCGCAGGGCTGGTGTACCTCGGAGACACACTACGGTCTTTCAGGACAACCCGACTTAAATAACTCGTCCCTTTCAGAAATCTGACCTCATCTCTCCTCATCAGAATTATCCATGATAACTGACACTTTCCTTGATACTTTGAAGCCTCACCCACAATTTTTTAGGGGAGGGAGGTCAATGCATGGTTAAGATCATGAGCTCTGGAGCAGGACTTCTGGATTCAAACTCTACTTCTGTTAGCTATGAGGTGTGCATGCTCAAATTACAAAATCTGAACAGGGAGATGGTAGTTTTACAGTCAAATCGTTTGTGAGATATTACCAGGACACATTGTTACAGCGAGCGCTGTCCTGGAAGTCTGAGAGCAAGTTTGGGCTCACATTCATTACACATTGAATAGAAAACAGCATGACGTAATCAATCACCTCAGGCCATCGGCCACGTGTAGCACGATTCTGTGCTGCAGCGTTCTGGTAAGACTGGTTTTGTCTTGCTGAAGCAGGCGGTCCAGGGAACCCTTGGAGGCTAATTCCATCACCAACATTCGAGGACGAATCCCAGCTGCCAGCAAAGATATTAAGCTGGGATGGTGAAGATGGCAAAGAACTACCAGCTCCTGCAAAGTCATTAAGAGTAAACGGACTGTCAGTTCTCACCCAATGCCTCCTCCCGTAAGTCCATCAACACTTGGAGAACAGTCTTCCCTGAGTAACTGCATTACAGCAAACTTACCATTTCTTCTTTGAGCTTATTTATATTTTCTGCGTTTTCAGAATTAATCGACTGGTTTTGCAACTACACTGTGAATTAAACATTTAAGTTCTCTTTTTCTATTTGATTTGCTTTATCAGAACATTCAATGCTGGGACAATACGTACACTGTGGCAACATTAACAGTTCATTCAGTCTTACCTACTGAATCTTCCTTAGCCACAGATTCCAGAGCAGCCACTATGGATCAACTGCACTTGGCGTCTGAGGAACAGCCTACCTATTATCTCTGGTTTGATGACTAGAAAGGTTTACAGAGAAGAGTATCTAAGTCTACAGAAATATCTGGCATTGCCCCCTACCTAAAAGCTCTCTAATGACTTCCTGTTACTTTCGGATTGAGATCGCATGCACTTACACAGCCCTCACGGCCTGACCTGATCTCTCAAACCTCATCTCCTTTCTTTCTCCTCCTTGTTCACCACCTGGGTTATTAAATCCCCAACAGCCCAGTCCCAGCATACAACCAGCTCCTTCCTTCCAGCCACAGGGTATTTGCCCTTGCTGATCCCTCTGCCTGGAAATCTCTTCAACCTTCACGTAGCTGAAGTTTTTTTGCCATTCAGATCTTAGTTTAAAACTCTTACTTCCTCAGAGTGATCGGCCCTGGTTATCCCCAGATGTAACAATCTCTCTCTAATCCAAGAAGTTAGCTGGAACAGAGAGGTCTCTATCCTGATTCTAGGCCATATTACATGAGACTTTATCATCTCTTTCATGATATGGTTGTTTTTGAAGTCTATATACATTTTATTCTGTATATTTCACTCTACTCTGAAACTATACTTGAAATTTACAGCTTCTGTGGTATTAAATTTATTCAGGTTTTAAACTATGATTTCAGCCAGAGCTCTGCTTCTTAACAACTAGCTTCAAAGATGGGGAGTATCAGTGCCAACTGCATTTATCAGGAAACCGAAGTATGAAGAATTCTGCAAGCTGAAGAATAAAGGCTCAGTGCCCTAAGAGGAGATTTTTAAGAACACAGGCTTCAAACTGCAATCATACTTCTGGAATAGATAAAAATCTTTTTTTTTTCCTTCTATGTCTGATTAGCTCAGTTGGCTAAATTTGATGAGAACAAGTCAATTTAGCTCTGTTTTCTTTCATAGGCACAGACAGAAGCCTAATCCAAATTTCCTATCCTAGAAAAACAGCTCACTGATTGCAGACAGCAAGGAGCAAAAGACTGTAACAGATCAGCCCTGATTCATAACCACAGGTAGAATGACCCTCAAAATGTAGCACTGAACACTGAAGTGTTTTCCTTTTAAAAAATAAAAAAAACCACATTACCTACACCCTATTTTTCTATTTCTATTATTTCCTTGGTTCATCTAGCTGCCCATACACTAATCAGTCCCTCATGCTTTTCTAGTGTTCTGATTTCCAACAAGGTTTCCTGAGCACGTTACATAAAATTTGAAACATGTTGAAGACTAATGATCAAGACTGAAAAATCTATTTATACAACAAACTGCCTACAGACAGAAAAGAGACTGTGCCCAGATTTGGTTCACTGATTTACAAAATATTATATACAAAACATTTATTAGTTTATTCCTAGAGCTACTGTGTAACTTTTGGTACTAATAATTAAAATTACTCCAGGACATTTTACACAGACATGAAATTTTTTCATTATTCAGAGTAACTAACATATTGCAACTGTACTTTTTGTTTATGTTAGTTATTTAGATTCAGATATAGGCACAATTTTTTTTTTCACTAAATCAAGAAAAAATAAGAATGAATAGAGTTGAGTTCTGGTGTAAGATTGCAGAATCCACACTGGATTTTATCTATCTTCACTGTGTCTCTCTCACTCATCCCTACTGTTAGGAAAGACTCAGAAAAAAAGAAATATATCCCCACCAGTATTCAAAACAAGAGAGGGCAATAAAGTGACTGCTCTTGGTTATGCAATCAACTTTCATTCTTCCTCAGAGTATCCTGGACTTTTACTGTGGTACCCAGCCCTCATCTAAACAGCTGATGAACTTTAAGGGGAACTGATTCCAATCAGTCCATCACGGACTGCATACTGCAGTCCATGGGGTTGTAAAGAGTTGGACACGACTGAGTGACTGAACTGAACTGACTCCAATCCCAGCTTCAAGGGAAAGGGGAATTTTTTAAAAAATACCCTGCTCATTACCACAGTGATTGGTTCAACAGCACAGGCCTAAGCCAGTCAACAACAGCACTGCCCTGAATATTGGTGCTTGCTGAAACAAGAACATGCCACTTAACTGAGTCCAGGAGAAGTTTTCAAATGGACTATTGTTGTATGGATTTTGGTTCCTTTGAGTTGCAAAAATGCCAAAGAGGTGCCCTCTTTTCTTTTGGACTTTTGAGGCCTGGAACAAGAATTCTCAGAATACTGTCTTTTGTTTTTCAACAGGAGAAACAAAACAAATCTATTTCACTCCATATGGAAAGGACAAAAGTGGGATTTTATAGCAAAACTCAACTTCGAAAACAGGATCAATACAAGCATGTGCCAAACAGGGGTTCCAGAAGATTAACAATGTATTATTTAATGTAATAATATTGCTGCATTTCTTACTTGTCTTAACAGCCTAAGTGATGTATGTTTATTAAAAATCTTCACAGCCACTTCTTCTCCTTTGTACGCAGCTCGATAAACAGATCCAAAACTGCCGTCACCTTTCAAAAAGAAAGTACAAAGCACTTGGGTTAATCTGTGCAAGCAGAAAAACTCAATGAATTGTATCTTTTGTAATTATATCTGTTTTGAAGAGTAATCTGATCCACGAGTTTCACTGAATCAAGTCTTCTTTAATGCTTGCTCTTTCTTCTTCTACTCCAAGAACCAAGATGCAACTAAAGATATTGTCTCTAGCCTTTCTGTCTTCCTTTTACATACTTTCTACTCAATTACCTCATGCATTCCCTAACTTCATCTATCTCTGTGTGCAAAGAATTTTCACCTTTAAATCGATAGTCACAGCCACCACCTGAAGTCTACCCTATATTTACAGCTCTGTGTTGGAGATAACCACTGGTGTGCTCTTCTGAATCTCAACTGCATTCCATCAAAAGTCACATTCTTCATCTTCTCTCCAAAATAGTTTTTATCCTACCTTTCATACATCTGATAAAACAAAACTCTTTTTGTGGTCATTCTGGAGTCAAAAACCAAAAATTTATCAAATGACTCATAAGATAAAGTGCCTCATGCCAGCCCCACAGCTGACCAGCTGTTCTGCGCTGCCTCTCTTAAGCCCAAGCCTCCCTTTCCATTTCCACTATAACTGTACCCTCTTAGTACCTTCATGCTTCCTGCCTACACGTGGGGGCCTCATGACTTCATTACCCCTAACTGATTCTCTCTCTCCTGAAAAATTAGCTCTGTAATTACATTTTGATTATGTCATTCTCTTGCTCAAAAACAAATCATTCTACATTGTCTGCCAAATGAAATCCAAAATCAAGTTCATATTCATACCACAGCCCCAAGTTCCCTTTGTGGTTCTCCTCCTGGTTCTACTTCTTTCTACTCTCACTCTCTAGGCTCTGGGCCAGTTGTTCTCCTCCTAGATTTGGCTTTGCAGTACATCTGAAGAGTTTTTTGAACATAGGAAAGCCTGCATCTATCCTCAAAGATTCTGATCTAATCAATCCCAGGAGGTACCATTCATCAGGAATTTTTTTCTTTTAACTCTGCTGGTAACAGCATAAACCACCAGGGTTGAGAACAACTGATCTAGCAAACTGGAATAGCCAAAATTGCTTAAACATGCTTTCTATCTTCAGAACTCCATCCCATGTTATGCCATAATTTACAGAGCTCTTGTTTCTCCTTCAGTTCAACCAGTACCTTTCTGATTGTAAAATGTTTTTAGAACAATTTATCTGGTTTGTTTAGCTCAGTGTTCTCAATCAGGGTGGTGATGCTCCTGATCTCCAACCACTACCCTTGACAGTGTTTGGAGACATTTTTGATTGTCACATCTAGGATGGGGTGAGACGATACTCCTGACATCCAGTGGGTAGAGACCAAGGATACTCCTAAATACCATGCAATGCCTAAGACACTCCCCATAACAAAGAACTATCCAGTTCCGAACAGCAAAAGTGCAGAGGCTAAGAAACTCTGATCTAGATTGCTTTTTGTAAATAAACATAAAACTTATGAATTTATTGGAAATGGGGTCAGAGTATAAGGACTACTCATAAACATTCTCCTATCTGTGTGAAGTGTGTGTGAAGTGAAAGTCACTCAGTCATGTCCGACTCTTTGCAACCCCATGGACTGTAGCCCCCCAGGCTCCTCTGTCCATGGGATTCTCCAGGGAAGAATACTGGAGTGGGGAGCCGTTCCTTTCTCCAAGGGATCTTCCCAACCCAGGGATTGAACCCAGTTCTCCTGCATTAGAGGTGAATTCTATACTGTCTGAGCCACCAGGGCCCCACCTATCTGCTAAATAAGAGGATAAAACACAGGTGCTTTTGAAGGTAGTCAAAAGTACAAACTTCCAGTTATAAGATAAATAAATACTAGGTATGTAATGTACAATATGATTACTATAGTTAACAGTGCTATATAATATATATGGAAGTTGTTAAGAGAGTAAATCCTAAGAGTTCTCATCAGAACAAAATTTTTTAATATATTAATTTTTAAATTTTTATATATATTTTATATTTTTTAATATATTAATATATGCAAGGATAGATGTTAATAAAGTTATTGTGGCAATCATTTCACCATACATGTAAGTGAAGTTATTACGCTGTACACCTTAAACTTATACGGTGCTATATGTCAATTACATCTCAAAAAATTGGGACAAAGCACAGGTGTTTCAAAAAATGAACTTTTTGAACACTTCTACATAACATTGCTCAAAATGTGTCCATTAATCCAAAACACATCTTTTAGTGCAGTAAAGAGGTATATTGGGAGAGCTGTATGCGATGGCTTGAGACTCTTTCAGAGAAAGAAAACAGTATGCCTGGTACTTGCCTGTATCTGTCAAATGTTTGGGGTTGGTTAAGATTTAAGATTCAGTGTTGACAATTCCACATTTTATGTTAACCTACTAGTACTAATATATTCACTTCCAGAGTTCTAAGGTATTTAAAATCATCCTAAATTTCCCAATCAATGTAAAAAATAAAGGCACAAAGGAGTTTATTTACTCCTACATGTCATATCCCAAATTTTAGACTTGGTTTATTAATAATATTAATATTGTGGCATATATCTTATCATCCTCTCTGTGAAAATTTAATTAAAATTAAATGTAAATATTCATAACACCAACAAATACTCCACAAAGTCAGAACTGTCTTTAAATACTTTACATTAAATAAATTCAATACTCTTCTCAGCTCCCAAGGACTCTCAGGAATGTTCAGAGCTTGAGTACATCACCAATCTAATATTTTTGAATTTTTAAACCCAAATTGGTTTTTGTGACTATTTTAATGAAAATTTATGATTGTTATATAGAATAACATAACTGCCACTATCACTACACATAGAGGTGTTCCTCCTTTACTTATTCTTTTTGCAACTAGAAAATGGCTGAATTACTCCTCTGAAAATTTCCTAACTGCCTTCCCTATCACTGACAATCAAACAATTAAAACCAATGCAAGGATGTTTCATAGATACCTATGCTTCCACAAGGGTGGAAACCTAGTGTACAAATGTGTGTATGCAAAGCAAATTCCAGATTTGTAATACATTACTTTAAAATGTATTATCCCAAAGGAAAAACACTACAAAAATGAAGACACTAAAAATTATGACAATTTAATTATATGTGAATATTTGCTAGATTATAAATAAAAACTGTACACTAACTTTTATTCTCAAACCAACAAAAACAGTTACCTAAGAGAAACTCTGGAGCTTGTTCAAATTCCAATTCATCATTATTCAACATAATATTTCTAGGCAGATCAGCCAAAATCAAGTCAGGAGCAATCTGAGATATTGGAATTGTGAGCCTTGGTTGATCTGGATTTACTAGGAGGTCTCCTGAGAAGTACATAAAACATTTTTTTAAAAGATAAACCTTTAAGATTGTACATAAATTTGTCCTTTTGATTTACAGAAACAATCACATATTGTCTATGCTTTTGAATCACTCAATGTTCACTTTCCAATCTTATTTTTCTTTAGAAAATTTGAGAATGTTTTAAAAGTTGAGTTACTCTCTATCTATTTGGAAGTTTAAAACCTCATTCCTAGGTTCACTCACTAGAAAGTAGAACTCAGAATTGCCTAGGCCATTGATATATGACTAGGAAATTATATATTCTTTACTTTCACAACATTCATAGAAGACAGCATATGGCTGACATTACTAAGTTACTTCCATGTATCATCTATTTTAATCTTTATCACAATTGTATGGCATAGTTTTGGTTAGTAATCTCACTTCACAGATGACATAACATTGCTTGCTCAGTAGCCAGTATTCAAATTCTCACACCAACATTTTTTCTGAATCTAGAGTATAAGATCTTACTGGCAATAAATGTATTTTTCTGAACTGTTAACTATAATTGAATGTAGTATCCTCTAACTTATCCCTTATAAATATGAACAATAAACTTTTACATTTATTTCAAAACTCACTTCGCAAATATTGAAAGTATCACTTAAAAACATTTGTAAGTTGTGTCAACACATACATACCTTCTTCTGCTTTCTTCATCAAGTTGTCAAGCAATATTTTTTGATGCTCTTCACCATCATTAAAACTATATAATGCCCATTTCTTCAGCAGAGTTTCTCCTTCACCACAAATATCAATCTCCAATAATCCAGGAAACCACTCTTCCATGAGAGAATCAATGTGGTCCACAACTTGGCCCAAAAGAACACAGCCTGTGTAATCCAAAGAAAGCGTGATTAACATCCTAGCTGAACCTTATCCTGTCACAAACTGAAAAGAACTATAGAGACTTTTTTAAAAGTTTTGATTTCTTTAGTGGTACAATTCAGTTTTGAATTAATTTCCTTACCTTTTCTACAAGAAGGAACTGTAATTTTTAAGAAACTCTCTGCGTGATGATCTAAAACTTCAGATCCTACTAAGCAGTAAGCTTCAGGAGACCAATTCAAGTAGATGCCTTGTCGCCAATACATTCTGTTTGGACGAAGTGCTCGTTCTGAAAGAAGTTTAAATGAACCCAAATATAGCTACTAATTATTTGTTGTTCCATAAACTGTAGGGGAAAAAAATCACTGCACATACTACAAGTGACAGTAATAGAGGTGTATTTGTTTTGAAGGAAAGTACTGGAATTGTTAATGATATGTTA